ATATGTGGGCCCCTCGATGATTTAGTGATGACACCCCTAAGTGCTTGGCCAAGCCTGGACGGATTTGATTTGTTCAATTAGTCATTCGTCATAAATCGGAAATCGGGAAACAACATATGGACAGAGAGAATGATTAAAATCCATGTCTCGGTCCATATGATATCTATAATGGATAAATATATGATCACTTATCTAATGGACGCGTCCTTGACTAGTTCAGAGTTCGACAGCGACTTTTTAGAGCTACGATTGCTAGTCGGGTTGTGGAGTCGTACTTGCAATAATAGTTATTAGACTTATCCAAGTGGGAGACTGTTGGATTAGGTTTCTAAGCCCATAACTATAATTGGTATGTACTTGACCCGAGAGTAGCATGGTCTATTTGGGTTGCATATCACCAGGACAATTTGATAGGATGGACTTTTGAGAAGAGGTTATTTATGATTTGTTAATATATTATAAGTTCTAATATATTAATATGAAATTATATGATTTAATTAGTATTGATCAAGAATTAATTTGGAATTAATTTTGTAATCAAAAGAGACTAATTAAATATAAGGGGTTGATTTGGTAAAATCATTCGTTCTTATGGTGTGGGCCAATGATCCATGATTCCTTAGGTTGGGCTAAACCCATGTGACAACCCATGGATGATCCATGGAGTTTAAACCCATGGAGCCTAAGGAATATGGAAGGTCATGCACATTAGGATTTACATGGTGTAACCCTAATCATGCCACACTATATAAGAAGTCCCTTAGTATCCAAAATGGCACACTAGTGTTCTTGAAGATCATTGAGCCGATTTTTGGTGTTATGATATTCTCTCAAAAGTCATCCTTTTGTCCAAAGGTGTGTTGTGATTCCATTTGAGGTGCAACACTTGGGGCACTAAGTTCTTAAAGGCCAAACTCAAGAAGTCTACAACTAGCTACAACATAGAGGTAATTCTATAACTCTCTTTTATGTTGATTATGTCATTTGTATGCTAGTTGTAGGCTTAATGCTTTGGAAACAATATAGCATGTATAATTAGAGAAAACATACATCCAAAGCATTTAGGTTTGTATGTGCACCATAGGATGTTGTAGTATACTAAAACGCATCAAAGTCAAGGCCGAGCATCAGCGACCTCACGACAAGATGCAACCGTTGGAGATTCCCGTGTGGAAATGGGAGGATATTACCATGGATTTCATCATGAAGTTACCTCGTGCTGTGCGCGGAGTGGATTTGATTTGGGTCATCGTGGATCGGTTGACCAAGAGCGCGTATTTCATTCTGATTCAAAAGAGTATTTCTGCAGAGAAATTGGCTGAGGTTTATATCAGGGAGGTTGTGGCACGTTATAGGGTACCGGTTTCGGTGGTTTTAGAAAGAGATGCCCGGTTTACTTTTAGGTTTTAGAAGAGGTTTCATGACGAGTTGGGTACTCATCTCCATTTCAACAATGCATTCCATCCGCAGACCGATGGTCAGAGCGAGCAGACTATTCAGACCCTAGAGGATATGCTTCGGGCATGTGTTTTGGACTTTGGTGGGAGTTGGGATACATATCTTCCATTAGCAGAATTTTTGTATAACAACAGCTATCACACCATCATCGATCGACCTCCTTTTGAGATGATCTACGGGAGGAAATGAAGGACCTCGATATGTTGGGGTGAGGTCAGTCAGTAGGTTATGGTTAGTACTGAAGTGGTACTCAAGACCAATGAGTTGATTCAGTAGGTTCGGAGTAGGCTCCAGACAGCTCAGACTCGGTAGAAGAGTTATGCCGACAAACGCCGATCAGATCTAGAGTTCCAGGTGGGGGATATGGTTCTTTTGAAGGTGTCACCTTGGAAAGATGTCATTCGATTCACAAAGAGGGGCAAGCTGGGCCCCAGACATATTGGTTCTTTAAGGGTTTTGGCTTGGATGGGTCGGGTTGCATATCGCTTGGATCTTCCAGATGAGCTCAGTCAGATTCATAGCACGTTCCATGTCTTTCAGCTGCATAAGTTTTTAGTGGATGATTCCGTAGAGGATCTACTGGAGGATATTCAAGTGAATGACCTCCTTAATTACATTGAGAGACCGGTGGCGATTCTTAACCGAAAGACGAAAACCTTAAGGAATAAGGTTTTTGAGTTGGTGAAAGTCAAGTGGCAGCACCACAAGGGTTCTGAATGGATGTGGGAGCCAGAAGAGGAGATGATGTAGCACTATCTGGAGTTATTTGGAGATGCGGACTTCGAGGACGAATTCTGATTCAAGTGGGGAAGATTTGTAACACTCAATTCCAAGTATGAAATTATTTTTCGATTGTGTATGATATTTTCTTTTGAAGTCCATGGCGTGGTGAAGCCTCCCTACGGTGTGGCGATAAGCTTTTGGTCGCAGGAGTTTAATGATCCACCACAGCATGGTGATTCTTTACCACGACGTGGTCACGACTGTTGGAGAAAACCCTAAAGTTTAAGGGTTGAGCCTTATTTAAACTTCATAACCTCTCATAGCCTCCCTCCCATCAGCCTCCATCTCCCCAAATCATCCCTTGCAACCCTAGATCCCTTGTGTGAGTTTTTAGCCTTAAAGTGTGGGTATTTGGTGCTTGTGAAGGAAGAAGGTGGTGGAAGATCTTATTGGGAGTTCAAAGCAACATAGATCCAAGAGTTTATCTTCCTCAAGCATCTTTAGGAGGTATAAAGTCTTCATCTTGATGAGTTAATTGATAGATCTATGGATTTTGTCCACTTTTCTCTATGCCTTGTTGCTTTGGAAAGGTTGAACTTCATAAAGTTTGCAACTTTATGAATCTCCAGGCTATTTGGAGCATTTGACTCTTTGGATATGAATTAGATTTGAGTTTTGAGGCCATGCATGGAATCTTGGCCTTTTTACCCTATTTGTCCTACTAAGGGTTCAAGACATGCATTGGACATGCATGTATGAAAAGCACCGATTTTTATGATGTGTTTGTTGTTAGAGACTCTTTGGAGCTTTTAGACATCTAGTCTTATGGATTGAGTGATTATTGCTTAAGCAATGTAGTGTTTTGGACCTTAAAGTTGAGATCTATACACTTTTGAGGGTTCTATTGGATAAAGTTGGAAACTTGATCCATCTAGACCTATTATGGACCATATCTGAGTTGGAGACCCTTTAGAATCGAAAAAAATGGTTGAATGCGTTAAGCTGCTGAAAACCTTGTTACCACAACGTGGCAAGGCCACCATTACGTGGTGGCGGGGCTAGTCACGACTTTCTTGTTGTTTTCGACACCACGACGTGGTATAGGGTTACGACGACGTGGTGGTCAGCTGAGTTGACTCTTCTTGACGTTTTGACCAACTTTGACCCATGGGGGTATTTTAGGTATTCTGGATTATGTTTGATAATTGGTCTTTTTAGTAGTTAGGCGTCGGTTAGAGTTGAGATTTGAAGCCGAGACTTCACCAGCTATTATTCTGATTCATAGGTGAATTTCCTCACTGTGTTTAGCGGGTCGAAGGCACTAATGCCGACCCATGACTTATTACGTTAGGATGCTAGATGTCTATGTGACTCTTGCATGAGTATGCATTGGTATGTATGCCGAGCGTGGCTTGATGTCGGGCGAGGCCCGCTGACTGTATTGTAGGCTATTATCTTTGTGATTATTGCATGTGTTAGTATGATTATATGTTTATATGCTAATATGTGTATCGGGCAGGGCCCGATGTCAGGCGAGGCTTGGTGATTGACAGATCTGTAAACCGAGCGGGGCTCGATGTCGGGCGGGGCTCGAGGTCGGGTGGGACTCAATGTCGGGCTGGGCCTAATGAAGGGCAGGAGGCCAGTATGTGTTTATTATGTATGGTATGAGGTATTTTGGGGAACTCACTAAGCTTTGTACTTATGGTTTTCAGTTTATGTTTTAGGTACTTTTGGTTCGAAAGGGAAGAGTCCGGGATGATTGCAGAGCACACACCGCCTTTTTTTGCATTTGGTGATTTACTCTAATATGATATGATGTAGTGACATACTTTGGTCTATCTTGGTTGCATGACAATGTTTTGAAGTACCGTTTTATTTAAATTAAAAATAAATTATTTGGGTCTTATTTTGGGACGTTACAGATGATGAGGAGAACGATGAGCCCGAAGACCTCGAAGATAGCAAAGATGAATGGTTAATTTATGTTTAGTTTTAAATTTTATTAATGTTATACATTTGTTAACGATTTTAATATTTTATGTTCATATCAAAGAATTTATATGATAACGTGGATTCTGCGTTTCTACAATTTTAGTACCGTTTTTATATAATCTAATAGCAATTTAAATATTGTTTATATAGATTAAAAATGTTTTAGCGACAATGGTATTAGCAGCGTCGAAGAGCATTGTCGGCGACAACGAACAATTCCAGCGATAAAAAGGCTTTGGCGACAGATTATTAATGGTGACAAAGGAGACCTTTAGCAGCGATATTTGTCACCGACAATGCTTCTATTTTTTATAGTGTAAAAATATGATAGATAAAGACATTCACAAAAAAAAAAAAAAAAAAATTGCTCCAAAAAGAAATGTTCACTATAATAGGATATTTACACTTTTTATATTTGAGTACATATAAACTCCAACATATTTAAACTTTTGGTCTTTTACTACCGTTAAGCTACATAATTTGTAACCATTGGAAAATTAAATAAATCATCAACTTTGTGGTACGAAACAATAAAATTTATTAATTTACATATACACAGTCAATATATTCACATATTCAACATTGTACAGTATGGAGATGGCGGCTGGCACGTCATCAACCTTTTTTATTTTAAAATTACTTGATTGATTGTCATCTTAGGCTCCATTATAAATGGAGGTGCATGGATTCCATTAATTTCCAAACAAACCCAACAAAGAAAAAAACCCATTGACATGGATATCTTCGCTTTCTTCCCTTCATCGCTTTTTTCATCAGTATCAATTCTCTTTTTTTCTTCGATCTTCATATATGCTCTGCGATGGATGAAAACATCCAAGGTTGCCCCTAACCTTCCCCCCAGCCCTCCTAAGCTTCCGATAATAGGAAACTTGCATCAAGTGATAGGTAAAAACTTCCATCAAATCCTATGGAAAGTCTCCCGAAAATACGGCCCTATTATGACTGTCCATTTAGGTGCCACACCATACGTCATCATCTCCTCCAGTGAATTTGCAAACCAGGCCTTAAAAACCCACGATCAGATACTTTGTAATCGTCCACGTTCCAAGGGTTTCAAACGACTAACCTTCGACTACATGGACGTTGCTTTCTCCCCTCATGCTGATCAATGGAAGGAGATGCGAAAGGTTTTGGTAACCGAGTTCTTAGGTTCTAAGAGGAGTAGATTGTTCAAAAAAGTGGTAGACACTGAGGTCAAGGGCATGCTTGATTCTTTTTCATCACTGCCTTTGAATACTACCATTGACCTAGACGAGAGGCTCTTTCATCTTGTAACCGACATTGTTAGCAAGGTTGCAGTGGGTAAGAGCTATAGAGAAGAGACGTTTAGAGGTAAAAAACTAAAGGAGATGCTTGATGATCTGGTAATCTCTCTTTGTGGTTCTGTTTCCGATATTTATCCAGGTAAATTAGGGTTGATATTAGA